ACAAACACTAGACAAACAACATTAGTGGTAAATTGTTTGTAAATCATCATCAAAATAAGAAGGCCAACAGATTCTACGTAATCAACGCTAAATTACATTAAAATATCTTAAGTTATACCCAATTGGTATTTACATATACTCAGTTGTATTCTGGATCGCTTAGGCTTCATTTGCATACTATGATGTTTTTCTTATTGTGCTTTTGTTAAAAAAAACATCATGATGTTGTGTTTTTCCTTAAAATGTTGTAAAAACATCATGATAAGTATTTTTGATTATCACTAGTTTGACTCATTACAACATTAGATTAAACATATAATATATTATATGATAATTATAATATAATATATTGTAATAAAATGTTTTAATATTTAGTTTACATTATTATAGTATATAAGTATTAAATATAATGCAATATAATATTATATAATGTATTATAATATTATGTTGTATTTTAATGAGTTTATTATATTATAATTATTATATATTATTTTCAAGTAATTATATATTTAATTATTTTGATATATCAATTTATTATTATTATATATTATATTAATATTTTTATAATAATCTTATTTTATTATTAATATAATATTATACTATTATTCATTTAATATAATATTATTAATAATGTTAATACTATATTATTACTAGTATGTTATTAATAAATTAATATATTATATATTTTAATATTATACAATATGTTATAGTTTTAGTATGTAAGAGTTTATTAATAGCACTTTAATAATATAATATGTTACTATTATATAATATTTTATAATTATTAATTTATTATTGTTTTTTATTAAAAGGTTAATAATATTATAGTGATTATACTATTGTTTAAAATATTATTATATTATTATTTATTATCAATAATTTTTTTTTATTTTTTATTAGTTTATATATATTTTATTATTATAAAACGCATTATTAACATATTAAATACTAGTATTTAATATGTTATTATATTATTATATAAGATATTTTATTTATTATATTTTTATATTATTTAATAAATACTACCATATTAGATTAACTATAACATAGCATAGTATAGTATAGTATAATATAATAAGCATGTTGATAATAACTCTATATTAATTACATTTAATATATTATGTTAGATATTATATTAACACATTCTCAAACTTAAAACCAAAACTCTTAAAATGTGTTTTGAAATAAGTGTTGTATTTTTTGTTTGAGCATGATTTTGCTCAAAAAATATTATGGTTTTCAAAGCATGATGCTTTGTTTTTGGCGAAAACACAATGAAAACAAGTAAAACTCCATGTTATCCAAACAGAGTCTTAAAGCGTTTGACAACCGTGGTGTTTTTGTTGTTTCCTTTTTTTAAACAATGAAACGTATTTGGCAACTGGAACGTTTTTTGACTTGACCCTTTACAAAATCCAAAAATAAACATTTTTCTCAAAACACCAAAAATGTATTTTGAGATTCTGTTTTTTCATCTAAGGCCGGCCGCAAGCGGCTGCCCCCCGCCGCAGCGCCAGCAGCCCGTCGCCGCCGCGGTAGGCCGCGTCACCTCATCTAACCGTCACGTGCCGCAGGGCCGGGCCGCTCCGGCCGTCGCCAAATGGTCGTCGCTGCTTCGTCGCTGCCCCCACGTCGGTGGCTATATATAAATGATAACTATAAATGGTGTTTTCAAAACATGATTGGAAAAAAAACACCATGACATGGTGTTTTCTACAAAAACATAATAAAAATAACCTTGATTACCAAACACACCCAAAAGCGTATCAACCAACTTCACCAAAAACACTCATTAAGATTCCTTGATATATAACTAAAAATTAAAATCTTATTGATATATAAACATCTCTAAATTAAA